CCAGAATATAGTTTAATTCATCCATGGGTCTAGAGAATCATTTCCGTATGTGTTGGTTATGGAATATGTAGAGAGAGAATTTGGCGAGCCAGAGTTCCAAAAAGGCGTTTCACCCGAACGAGCGAAGAAATATTTTGAAGACCTCATTTGCGGAATAAGCTTCATGCACGGAAAGCTCTTTGTTCATTGTGACATTAAGCCCGCAAATTTGCTGTTGACCAAAAATGGTAAGAAAGCCTAATTACTTTAAAGTTCAACTAGTGAAATTTTCAGATGTACTAAAAATCGCAGATTTCGGACTGTCGGTATCCATCCTCGCCGACGAGTATATCAAGAGCCACAGAGGAACAAGGTACACAATGTCACCGGAAATGGTAGAGGTGGACAAATTCGTTCATGGAAGATCCGCTGATGTCTGGTCGATCGGAGTGATGCTGATGTACTTTTTTATTGGTATGCTACCATTCAATGAAGCCACTTCTGAGTAAGTATCAGAATATGAAATGACTGGAGACAGTATTAGAAAAAATAAAAATGAATTAACCCCGTTTTTGCAGATGTGATTTCTACATGTCCTGGATCGCCGGCGAAAGCAGCGTCAAGCTCCCTTGGCAAAAGATTGCAAAAGAACCGATGGGTGAGTATAACTTTCAGAAAAAGTAATCGCTAGTTAGAAATATCTTGAAGAGCTATTGTTTTTATTTTACAGATCTCATTCGAAAAATCCTGGTGGTTGATGTAAAATCGAGAGCAACCTTAAAAAGTATTTCAAAAGATCCCTGGATCATGGGAGGAGAGGATCAAGTTAAGGACGTGAAGAAACCAAGATTCAAGAAAGTCAAAGCTGAGAAGAAGAAGGTCCAAGTACAGAAAGTTGAGAAAGCAATCAAAGAAAGCGCCAAAGATCCAAAATCAGCTGCAACTCATCAAAAGAAGAATGTTACCAAGCAGAGAAAACAGGAGAAAAAAGCTACAGAAGATTTGAATGATTTGAAAGATGAAAAGCCCGAAAAAATTCCAAAAAGACAGCCAGAGAAGAGGAAGCAGGATAAGGAAGATGCGGAAAATGCGGGAGATGCAGAAAATTTGAAAAACAGGCATGGACCATCGAAACGTCAAAGGGTGCCAAAAAGACAATGGGCAGAATAATTCATTTTTTTCTTTTCTGATTTGGAACTTTTCAAATCTCTCAATTCCCCTAATTTTATTTGACAATTTTCCTAATTCATTGATTTCTAGTTTTTCTCTAAATGTAAATATTACTCCCTCCCAATTTTCCCAAACGCTAACTCTACTCTATTCCAAGTTTTTTTAGTGGTTAAAATAAATAAAAAAGGAAACAGTAAAATGTAATCTGTTCTGAAAAAGATGAACTAATAGAATAAGACTACGGACCTTATTGATCCTTTTTTCCCTGAGGCACAGGCTGACCTAGACATCGCCATGTAGAACAATGGAGGCAGTCCGACCTGTCAGCGATACTTGATTGTTCCAGGGACCGAGATAATTGAGCTCGAATTCCCCGTATATGACAGGTTTCCATTACAACAAAAACATTATTTAATCTCGAAAAAATTCTTACAGGGTGGATACTAATTACTGATACACAATTTTGCGCCAACTTACACTCTTGCAAAAAAGCGCAACTGGCTGCAATTTTTCAAAATTTTGTTAATTACACCTTCTTTTACATATGTGCAAAGTTTCATGTCTTTTTCTCCATTTTGAAAGAAATGGCGAGAGCTTCACCATTCCACACAGCGATAATTGGAGTGTTAAAAAGGGAAAGTCCAAATGAGACGCCATAGAAAAGCTCAAGGTGCTGAGAATCTTGGTTCAAAGATTTGTTTTACGTAACCAGAGACTTCGGCTTTATGTTGACTTCCCAAAAGCTGGACATGCATTCTCAGTGACCACTCCAGTTCTTGTTAAAGTTGGCCGAGAGATTATCCGTCGAAAACAGGAAAAGAGCACCAAAAAGATGGTCAGCGACATCAATATGTGTCACAGATTGATGGAAACTATTGCCAGTCAGAAGCTGTATTTGTATTCTTATCAAATGCAGAAGCCGGCGTTCTTGACGGAGAAATACCTGCTGTTTCTTAATAAAAAAGCACAACATCTCCTCCGCAGCATGCAAGCCTTTTCAAGCAATTTTTGCATTTTTTGATGATGAAGTATTTAATGTTGAGGCTGACGAGAACGGTAAAAACAGTCGTATTATTGCTACAGACTTTGAAACCGTTTGTAAAAAAGAAACAATTTTGAATCTAAGCCAAGGGTCGTACCGCAGACACTCAGCAGTGGTTCAAGGGCAGTTTTCCAGAATTTATATAGGTTGCAGAAAAGCAGGCTCCGTCGCCATATCTGAACCAATTAGACTATGCCATTTAGGAATATTCTAGCCAGAGGGTCTTTACGGAAAACTACTCAAGTTTGGATGCTTTGATGGTTGTCCACGAGAAATTATGGGACGCTCTTCGGCGAAAACGCCTGCGTGCCGTGATCGACTCTTCTCTGGAAGAAATCGAGTTTTGATCACAGCCGATGGTGGACAATTCGAAAACTATAGTCAAATTTTGTTTTTCTATCGTTTCAATAATCTACTGTTAAAGTTTTTTTTTTCAAACAAATGCGGTGGTGAGGAACAGTGAAATA